TAGATATGGGTTAGGTGGACCCCCCACCCAGTAATAGAGACTGTAGGGGATAATAGGGATTGTACTAGGCTCCTCTTATATTCCTATTATACCACTATTACAGGGTGGGGGGTCCTCCTAAGATATGGGTTTGTTGGGCTTAGAGTAACCTTTGAAGGGGCTCGTGGGTTCCACCTCTGTGCTTTCTCAGACCATTCACAACAAGGCAAACAATTTCAATGTTGTACCGTTTCACTATAATGAGATAGCTTTGGTAATCCCAACCCACACAGAAGGAAGAGAATCACATGGAATCAAACAAAATCATCGACAATACTGCGGTATGGTGGTCTCTGCGGATTTTTGGCAACCTCAACCCCAAATCAGGAACCCACTACAGTCGTGTAGTAGTTGTAGAGACCGCATTTGGGGTCTTGGAGTGACTAAAATGGAGGTTTCCCAAAATTAGGGGTACCATTTTGGGGGTCCCTATAATAAGGATTATAGTATTTTTGGGTCTATATTGGGGTCCCCTTATTTAGGGAAACTACCAAATCCTCTCCTCCATCTTGGACCTGACCACAAATTGGTTTTCTGTGGGGTCATCATCATACGAAAAGTGTCTTACATCAAGGAAAGAGCAAAAAGGTAGCCTCTAAAGTCAATGGATGCAAAGAGGGAAAGAAAACCGAAAGGTAAGCTGAAGGCAAGGAGGATGTGTTTTTGTTTCTCTGGGCCATTGTATTTCATGGCTTACGTAGGGTCAGAGATTTGGTCGCTGGGTGTTCTTGAGCCTCATACCTCCAGGCCAAATGTAGACAAGACGCTACGCAATTTGGAGCACAACCGTCCCAGAACCTCGACCTCTTTTCCCCGGCCTTTAATTCTGTGTAGCTAAACCCTAAACCACAAAGCTTTAACCTTCGTTTACTTTTCTCAGTCTCAAGCTGTCTCTATTTGATTTTACTTCCCGCCTTTTCCTTGCGGTTTCTCTACGATGTCTATTGCTTTTGTTCTCTACATTTGTTCTACTTGTTTTGATTTTTTCCGCTGTGTTCCATTGCTCCTCCCTCTGCCTTTTTCTGTTTCTCTTCTACTTTTCTACCTTTGTCCCCATCCTTACCAGCACGCCAGCCAGCCCTCTTCTGGGACCGTCGGCAGCCTGAAAGGTAGTATAGACAAGAGAGCAAAACATGTAAAAAGAAGTAATTAGGCGAGGCAAAAAAAAGGGAAAATAGTAATTTCCCAGAACAGGGGGACCCCAATGTAGACCCCAAGATACGATCATCCTTATTATAGGGACCCTCAAAAGGGTGCCTCAATTTGGGAAACGCCTAAATAAACCAGCCATGGCCGCCAGACTCCCAGACTCCTCATCTCGATCTTCCCTCTTCACTTCCTCACGTGCCGCTTTCCAGACATGACTGAGCACACCAAAAAGAACAGCGCTGAAGACATGAAACAAAACTGCACGTACGCCATCAACAAGTGACCAGATGCAGTCTGAAGGCAGATTAGTGACTACTTAGTGTGACCACACAGTGGCCGGTGACCCAGCACCTGAAGCCGCAAGACATGCTCTCGCATCGTGTCATGGCACCTGCAGTTTACCCTATCTGTCAGACATTCCTCCGCTTCACATATATATATATATGTATATTCACATTTATACTTATATAAATGTAAACCGCCTGTGGCAAGCGCACTTTACCAATGCAGTGTTCGATATGTCTTCATTCACATGTTCGACCTTTTTTGATTCGCCGTTATTTCCCTTTCTTTTTTTGGATTGCACCTCCGTGCGTTGTAGAATTCATGCGGAAGCTAGGTATCCAAGTTTGTTGTTTTGAGCATAGGGCACACCTACTCGTAGGTTGATCTTGTCTTTGCACAGCGTCCTATCCCCCATGCGAGGATGAAGTAGCTTTGAACCAAATACTTTGCTTATTGTTCTTCTTGCTAGAAGAAGAGGAAGGGAACTTGTTGTGTCCCGGCTGTCCATGCGGCCTCCAACTTTCGGGTAGGTTGTCAAGGCACCTAGCTGTGTTGAAAGACCAGAAAGCACAAGAAAGCTAGTACCTGAAGTGCCCGAATCCAAAAAATAGCCTACTTCGGGTCATTTCCCCTTGCAGTAACACTTACCATAAGAAGTAGTTGGAGCTGTAATCGCCCCTGACAAACCCCAAAGGAACCTTAGATAATTTTCCCCAGTTTAGATCAACCATCCCATGAGCTATAGTCTAAACTCCTTAAAGGGGGTTAGGGATTATATAGGGAACTACTAAAGGGCTTATTTAGGGGGGTTACTAGGAGTTTAGGCTATGGCTCACATGTTGAGCTCCTTTAGCCAGGTGGTGCGAGCGGCGGTGACTCAAAATGGACGCTTGCTTCACAGAGGGGTGGGTCCCGAAAGTAGGGACTCCGTGTTTGAGGGGTTTAGGATTTAAGGTGGGTCCCAAAAGTAGGGATTCCTAGCTTGGGGGGTTTAGGATTAAGGGGTCTCTTGAATAAGGATTAAATACTTCAGGGTACACAAGGTTCCCGCATGCTCAGCAGCACCTTCCCGTAGCGCGTTTTTGCTGTTTAATCCTTGCTGGCCATGAGGGTTGCTTCTGGGATCTTGAAATATGCCGGCCTAGATGCAGACCCAACTGGCACTGACCCCCAAGGCACATCAAACTTTACAGGAACCAACACTACATGGGTGGTTGTCAAAATTATGGTCCCTTTTTGGATCCCTATTATAGTACGGCACCTAATATTTAGGGTACCCAAAAAGGGGCCATAATTTTGACAACCACCTACACGCAGCCTGTACAAGCAGCCCAACAGGTTGCAAACCTGAAGCCTAAATGGCACACAGTGTACTACAGGGGCCTATACAATTACCAATATCATGTTGAGGTACCATGTACTATGATTATACAAGGAAGATGGAACCATAAAATTGGTAATTTTTAGGCCCCTGTATTAGGGTTATAGGGCTCAAGTTTTTAGGAGTTGCTTGGGGTTAGCCAGGGTTCAGGGCATAGGATTGAGGTTTCCTAAAGCCTGGAGCTCATTGACCCACCATGGAACCTGAATGATACCAACCGCATTGAGATGAAAAAATGGCCACAGAAGCTTGCCAAGCCAGGTGTTAAATCCCAACCCATGAATTTACTGGGTTGCTGTTCAGGAACTGAAATTAAATTACCATAACGGGTATACATACTAGTGAATATGGTTCCCTCATTAATTATGACTCATTATAGTAACTCAAATTAACTTCCTTAACAGCATCCCATTTGAAGGTTGAGGGTTTAGGGTTGGAAAGCTAAGGTTTAGGATTCAGGGTTTAGGGGCATGCTTGCCCTGCCGTTTCCGTAATTTCTGTATCTGAGTTATCTGGAAATCTAGCGAGTAGTATCATGGGGGCAATTTCTGCGACTGGCAAGGGCTTCTAATACTTCTAATTCCGAAATTCCATGCAGAGATTGAACCTAGAAATTGTCATGACATGGCTCATTCCAAGTAAGAAGAGCCAGCAAAAAGGTAACTTCAGAGCCCCCTATCTTGCTTCCAAGCTGCGCGGCGCGGCTTGCCTTGCCATTCAGGCGAGAAAAACGTATGGAAGTTCGCTTCAAAGCTACCACTATAGAATCCTTAATGGGACCCTGACAATCGTTTTGTCTTGTCACCATGTATCCCAAAGTTCCCTGAAATCCCCTTATTTTGATAAAGCGGAGATATGTGATCATGGAGAAATGCATGTAAATCTTTCCAACATGTAAACCTATCCAATATTCTCGTCATGTTCATTTCTATTTTTGATATCAGTTTTGTTCTTATTGATATCACATGCAGGGTCGGCAAAAACAATAAACACCTTCATAATCTGTATAAACTCGATGAAAAACCCAGTAAGTCCCATTATTCCCCTCCTTGCTACCTCCCCGAACCCTCCAAGGCCCGAACCTCAAATCCCAAACTCTAAATCTTAAACCCTAAATCTTTAACCCTAGATCCTAAATCTGAAGCCTTAAGTCCTAAACCTTAAGCCCTAAACCCAAAACCCTAAATCCTAGACCCTAAACCCCCAGGAACCGCCTTGCGTTTCGCCTCGGAGCGTCTCCAAGGGACCGCGGAGATCGTCTTGGCTGCCGTTTCCGGGGGCAGCCAGGTCAGACCTCTACCAGAAAGGGGATATGTTAGGGGTTTAGGGTTTAGGGTTTAGGGATTAGGGGGGGGGGCACCCAGTAATAGTGACTATAGGGTATAATAGGGATTATATTAGGGTCCTCTTACATTCCTATTATACCACTATTACAGGGTGGGGGGGGTCCTCCTAAGGGATATGATATAGAGGTTATATAACTTATATACACGTATGTATGTATGTATGTATGTATGTATGTATGTATGTATGTACGTATGTATGTATGTATGTATGTATGTAATGTTATGTATGTATGTATGTATGCATGTATGTATGTATGTATGTATGTATGTAGGTAGGGGCTTTTCAACCGTTATATAGGGATAATGGCGAAGAAGATGGAAACTACTATTTAGGGTTTTGGATTTAGGGTTGTAGAGGGATCTCATAGGGATTCTTGGAAAGAAAATGGAAGCCGATTTAGGGTTTGTGGTTTAGGATGTCGGGATGAGGGTTGAGGGAGAAGACCTTCATAATGGAGAATCAAGTGGAACATGGAATGGAAGCAAGATTGGTACAGTGGTTGATAGGATAAGCAGACGGCTTTTAGGGGGATATCCTTACCATGCGGTGGGTTAGGATAGGCGGTAAACGGTACATCTCTACGATGGATATTAAAATCCTGCATGGCCCTAAGTGGTTTAGGGTTTAGGGTTGTCTTATACCTTCGGAATTGTGGTACTACACTATAATAAGGTCATGCAGGGGTTTTTATCATCAACAGTTTTCTATCTATTTGCTTACAATCATTTTCTGACCTTGTAGGAGGTACTCTGCTCAGAAGAAGGGTGGAACCCCACAAAGGGGATACATGTGGATCTAGAATGCTTTTGAATTTAGAGTCAAGAGCGTAGGCTGCAGGATACCGTCCTTAAAAGTAGACTGGAAGCTGCGTAGATCCTTTTAAAAGGGACACGTCTCTCTAGGGCTTTCTTGGGGGTGCCTGAAGGCTTCAGGGCTTGGGTCGGATTTATGCGAAAGAGGTCCACGTGCTCAGTGGAAAACTGTTTGGGAGGTTGCCGTTCCAATTTAGACGAGCGATCTGCTGGGTGTAGGTTCGACAGATGCTGGGTTTGGGTAACATGGGTTCAGCCTCATGAGCATCAGCCGGGCAATGACTTTATCAGCAGCAGGGATCTTGTGAAGGTTGAGCAGTGTTCTTCTATCATCGCACCGGTCTTCAGCGTTTAGAAAAGGAATCTCATCCGTCTGGTGGGTATCTGCAGGAGTCCTAGTCCTCATGATGCTATGCAGCACAGAAGTCAATTACCAGTGGCCGCCTGATGCTGGGCCAGATTGCCTGGCGTGGTTTCTAAGCAAACCTCCTAAAGATGAAAGCCTTGATCAGCTTCAAAACACCGCCCATCTTGGTCAGCTGTACTCCAGGAGACCGGTTCCAGTCTTGAATGGGAGCGAATCCCATAAACCCCCAGCCTCAAACCACTTAGTTGCACATCCTCTCAGCTTCAAGTTTTCCTTACTGGTTGCTCTGCAGCATCCATAATCCCTCCTATACACCCTGATGTACTGTAACCCCTATGTAACTTCATATGCCCTCTATGTCAATGTAAACCTTAGGGGAGGGAATTCCACCAACACGCGGTCCGAGCTGACAGGCCTTTGAATTTGCCTCGAAAGCCTTGCGGGCGGATCGCAAGGCAGCCGGATCCATGGCTCAGGATTTAGGGGTTGAGGGTTCAGGGTAGTAAGGTTTAGGTTGGGTACTGCCCCCCCTCAGTAGGAGTCTATACTAGGGGTCCTATTAAGGGCTATATATAACTATATTCGAAATATTATTCGACTGTTACTGAGGAGGCAGTACCCAAGGTTTCGGGGTTTAAGGTCCAGGGCTCGCTGTGAGTTAGCGTGCAAGCAGTAATGATTAGGTTTCCATGACCCTTCAAGTGCATGGAGGGCCGCATTAACTGTCACCCACTCTTAAACTTAGTTAGGTCCCTTGTTGCAGGGATCCTGGGAGGCCCCTAAAAAGCCCCTACAGAGGCTAGGGGTTTGGAGGTTATTACAGGGAGGCAGAAAAGTCCCCATATGGCACTGCAGGAAATCAGCTTGCCACCGATTTTTCAGGCAACCAGTACGGATCGCAAGGAAAACAAGCTCCGGTACCGGGCTTTTTTGTGGGTGCTACCGTGCCTGTGGCTATGCTTAGTCGGGGGATCTGCGCCATCGAAGTCGAGGGGCATAGGCGCCACCGCCCATGGTAAGCGGGAGGCCTCAACCTTGAGTTTGAGATCATTGGGTTCGTGGCTGCAAAGGGGCGCCTCACAGACCCTGTGCAATACATTGGGAGTAGGATACGTGGATGTATATAGCTTGCTCCATTTTGCTTTTAGGCTTCAGGATTTGGAGGTTTAGGGCTTAGGGTTTGAGTCTAGGGTTTAGGTCTAGGGTCCGTATGTACATGTCTTATCTGTGGTTGGATTTTTCCGGGGGGAGTGGCGCTTCTTCAAAGGTCTGACACTGCTTTACAAGCCGGGTGGAAGTGATTGCTTGTGTGCAGGATCTGGGGTCTGTCTTCAGGATTAAGGGTTTCGGTTCATGTGTTACAAGAACTGGTGTTGAAATGAGTGCACCAAATAGACATGTACATATGTATGTGTATACAGCCACGAGGGGTACATAATATGGTATTCGTACCAAATTAGCCCTAAACCCGCAAACCCCAAAC